TTCTTGGCAGCTGCAGCCTCTTCCTCGGCCTTCTTCGCCGCCGCCTCTTCCTCGGCCTTCTTGGCAGCTGCAGCCTCTTCCTCGGCCTTCTTCGCTGCCGCAGCCTCTTCCTCCGCCTTCGCGGCAGCTGCGGCTTCTTCCTCAGCCTTCGCGGCTGCTTCAGCCTTGGCTTTTGCAGCGGCCTCTGCCTCGGCTTCCGTCGCCTCGTCTATGTCTGGTTCGGGTTCGTCCTCGACAACTGGTTCGGGCTCCTCCTCAGGCGCCGTCTCCTCGGCTGAAGGAGCTGGTTCGGGATCTGGTGTGGCCTCGGCAGCCTCGGCAACCTCGGATGTTTCTTCGGCTGCTGGGGCCTCCTCGGCCTCAGGAGCGGGATCCTCCGCCTCTGGCGTCTKGGGTTGGTTMTTCTTCGCCTTGYTCTTGCTCTTTTTGCCCATGGTTGAGTAGTACAAGTGGTATTTATTTCGGTGTTATGTTATAACTAKTTGACGTGGGATGTGACTTCGAGTCTAAAAATCATTGCATGGGCCAGTACCGTGCGRTACGTACAGTGTGACACGGTTGTAACATGTAACATGGATGATGTCGCTAAATCCTCTGAAGAGAATACCGTTGCATGTTTTCCAAATACCGTAACACAGGACGATAGGTACCGGTACTCGTACCCAAGTACCGTAGGCGATGTCATCTGCATTGGTATCCACGAGAAGGAGCTGTTTCTCTCATTTCGTAGGTCGGAGTAGGGTTCAAGACCATGCCGGCAAGTAGAGCATTGCGGGCGTGAAAATCGAGGTTTGAAAACTTAACCGAACGCAATTTTCTCCAGCCATAACATCCTCGCGGGTACTGCACCGGCGACGGGTACGGTACGGTACATACTGCTACCCTATCATACGGTACTGTATTGCGAACATCCACGAACTTCTCTTGATGATGATTGAAGATTCGTGAAAAGTAAAATTTTACAGTTCGTTCKGTACGAAGSAAGTACAGTCCATACTACCGTACTACTATAATTTTTGTCCRACTGAACTTTGCGACTAAATTGATTGATTATGATCGGCCGCATCAGATAGCAGAGCAATCRCCAAAGCGTAGATAGACGTTATCTCAACAGAAAATGAAGCGTGCCGTTAATCACATACAGCGTACGGACCTCGTACCCAGAGCACGTTTGACCATGTCAAAATGTGACGCWGCGAATATGTTGTTCTTCCATCCGTCAAAAAATGAGGTTCAACTCAATTTGAAGCACATTCAATCAGTAGTACGAGTACCAGGTACACGTACTGTACTGTATGGTACCGTACCGTACGTACCTGGTCCAGAACGTACGGTAATTGATGTTGGTTTCAGATGCGAGTAGCGAGTATCGTACGTACGATGCGCATCTCGTATTTTTGAAAAAAAATTTGAAAAAATGGAACACAAGCCACGGGGAAATTCTCTGTTTCGACATGAAACTTTGTTTCACGAAAGTGAAAGGAATAATACAATTGTCTCAAACCGGGGACGATCRCACCAGAAAAGCTGGGAATTTTTTGGTTGGGCAACTGCATCCACTGATTACAGTTGATGAATCTACTCATCCGTCAATAGGGAGGGATTGAGAAGTAACGTCGGAAGAACGGTGAAACAATGGAAGATCCCAACTGCCGCCAACAAGGAGAATTAGTAGAGGAATCGGAAGAAGAAGGGCCCACGTCGATGTATTTGGATGATGGAAAGCCGACGTCACCCTTTTTAGGGGACATAGACGAACGCGGGAACAGCAAGGATGATGACGATAATATGATGCTTGATGGATTTTTATGCGATGATCACAAGAAAGATCAARACGATCTTGATCTGGATGCATTGTTGGGAGATGATTGTAGTGAAGCTGATRATGATAACTGTGGCGACAACGTTGATRTCAATCGTGACGAAAATAACGAAGAAGCGGACAATGCTGATAAATCAGATGGTGATGAAAGCAAGACGAATGARAACCATGGCGATAAGGAGATACTACGTATTACAGTACAGTCGGATGGCCATCGTGAAATTAGTGGTTCTGTCAATGCCACGGCTACCGTTGACACCGATACCGATCAATCTCAGAAAGAAGAACATAATGCAATCGTTGAAYTGCCAAAAACCAAATTTGAAACTGCAGCTGTTTCTAAAGAAGATGCTAGTGACAAGTACTCTCGCCAACCAGAGCAAAATCAAACCAAACCATCGAATGCTATAATTGAAGGTGAATCCATTACTRAAGACGTYATTGATGCCAATCAATCTCGGGAACGAACGCAAAATAATATTGTAGAAACTCCGGAAGCCACATCAGATGAATCATCGCCATCTCCTCCAGTTGTKGAATTCGAGGAAGATGATGATCTGGATTTAGATGCGCTGCTAGATAGTGATCACGAGGCTGACGATGCCGATAAAGTCGCTGGTAGCAAYTGCAAAGATGCTAATATTATTGAAGAAAAGAATGTTATCAAATCTCAATCTCGGGAAGAAGGACGAAATAATACTTTAGGGACGCCAAGGATTGAATCCGAGGAAACGACTATGCCTTCGGTTTTGAAAGAAGAGAAAGACGATCTTGATGATCTGGATTTAGATGCATTATTGGATGATGATCACGAAAAAGARCTTGATGATAAAACCATRGCGAACGATGGGAATGAGATCATTGATGGAGAMAAAGGAGCRTCTAGTTYAGTCGTTTCAGTAGATAATTRTGATGACTCTTTTCCGAATGACRAAGATAAAAAGGACAGTGGYAAAATTCATTCTAGACGTAACGAAAAAGAGCTACCAAATGMCATTGCCTCCGTCTCTACAGAAGATGAGATCGCACTCGAGTTAGATATGCTTCTCGATGGAGAAGATAATCACATCGACTCGAAAGAACAAGAAAAGGCTGAAATCAATACCGAAAAAAATTCCGATCAGAATCTTGCCATTCCTGTTACYACAGAGGACAAGGTAGCCCTCGAGCTCGACGCGCTATTAGATGGAGAACACGATGAAGTCGAACCAAGTTTCCAAGTGATAGAGGAAGATTCTACAATCCAAATGTCGTCAAATTTAACCCAAAAGGCCGCTACGACTACCGRAAAAATTGGGAACGACATTCGGAGAACTTTGTTTCAATCGCCCAATAAGGTCTCCGAAGCTGCGACCCTGAAAAGGCAGGAAAAGATTGTGAGGGAACCTGAGAGACGTGCAACCAAGAAACAATCCATGGGAGAAATACTAAATCGCAATTCCTCTTCGATCACSGCTTCATTATCACAGTCTAAGAAAAAGATTGTGTCGACCAGGGATAAGGTGAGAGACTACTCTCGCGATCTGACCAAGAGGGCGTCGGATCGAATGAAAAAAGATTCCTCATCTATGGTGACAGGGATCGACCAAAAGTTTGATTTGTCATCACCCAGATCCTTTATGTTGTCGACACTCAGTTCTGCGAGAAGGTTTGGGGGACAGGTTGCTGAGGAGGTRAAACAAAAGAAACCAAAATCATTATGGGGAGATAATGAGAACATGAAGGGCTTTCGAAACTATATGAGATCTACTATTACCTTTTCAAACAAGGTATCGGAGACTCAAAATCTCGAACAGCAGAAAGCGGAGCTAAAACAGGTGAGAGCACAGAAAATTGTGATGAATCGAGTACCCTGGAAAAACAAGGAAAGACCTACTCGAATAACAACTAKCAGTCACGATGACGCCAACAGAATGGTGTCTCCATTACCTACTCCATCTTGCCAACGTACTTCACCCGTTTTTTCGGGAACCATTTCTTCTATTACGAAGGTTGCAGCTGCAAAACTCCTCCGAAAACAAAAAGCAGAAGAAAGGGAAGCAGAGATCAAAAAATGCGTCGTTGATCTTAGTCCAAGGGGAGAAAGCATAGAAACGGTTTCACGATTCATGAATCCCAACGTCGATGCCAATAGGTTGCACACTCCCTGGCGTAGTCAAGTGCGCAGCCCACGCAGTGTCGCTTCCAAAACATCAAGCAGAATGAGTGCAGGTGTTCGATACKCCTCCGCCTCCCCTGCAATATCTTTTTCTGATAAATCAATTGGATCAGTGAGTTCTCAATGCACTGTCGAATCATTCGTTAGTCCACGGAGGGAGGGGATYCGTGGATGTCAAAATMAATTTGATCCATTTCTTCATGAAGCAAGGGGTCCATGCGAACTTTGCGTATTTCGTCTACCACAGAAGGAAAGGGAGAAATTGGATGCACGGGGAAGGCATTTGCTAGTTCAGTTCACAACAGGAGGATGTCGAGATTGTGCTGCGTTCCCAAAATCTGTGGATGAGCCTCATGTCAGGTTGTGCAACAAGTGCCACTCTGTCTCTCATCGAGTAGTAGATACCAGGCRCCGCAAAGTGGGGAATGGTACACACATAGGGTACTCCTTCGCAAAGGTATCWGAGGGGTACAGTTCAATTATGCAGCATCAGTTTGATCAGTAGTGTCTACAATGATATTAAAGGGGTTCAAGTTAGTTGTATATGTGTAGTTGTGAAGAAATTGATGGCATAAATTTTTCTYCTTTATTGGTAGGAAATTAGAAAAAATTGGATTTTTCAAATTTCAAAAATTATGATTGACAAGATGACTAAATTGATCGTGTGATTGATGTTTAGAGGAACAGAGCCCACTTGAATGGCCAAGCACCAATAGTTAGTACTTCTTTCAAATAGTACAATGAATTGACATATTTCTCAAAAAGGTAGAAATTTCATGTATCTATTTATCTAAGTGCCTTCCCATCTAAGTGCCTTCCCAAGATGATTGTTCAGTTGGATCGATACTGGTTTAGTACCCTTCATTGTTATTCTGCTGCCAGCAAACAACAATTTTAAATATTCATCAATTCTTCCTTCATGACATGTCCTTTTTGATGTATATTATTACAATTGTTGCATCTTCCAAATACATGATGTAGTAGTAGCCGTCTGGTGACATTTTTCATGTTTTGTTGCAATAACTGCTGTTTGGATGTTCTTTCACTAGTTCACCACCAGGGTTAGATCTATTGTTAACTGCTTAGATATCTAATGACTCCTGATATATATTTTATAGTACACACTTTTTACTGTATAGTACTAGTAATTTCCATCATCAATAATGAGTCTTGTGGTGCTTTGTTCTTCATTGACCTCATGATGAGTATCTTGATTGTACTGAAMATGCACTGCTGATACTGAACCCCTGCTGTTGATATGAGTTCAAACTGTGGGCTGATTTACATACTAGTACCAACCATTCCCAGTAGCATTTTAATACATCATTTCCACCAATAGGGTTGCAATACTACAAGTAGTGATAAGATTGGTGCAATAGTCCTTGGTACAGAAGAATAAGAATGATATTTGATATAATGCCATTTTACCATTCTTACTGCTAGACATGATATCCTAGCAGTACTAGTACTACTAGTAGGTCTATAGGAGTGGTCATATTGATACCCCATTGTTTGCACATGAAAGCCAAGGAGTGTRGAGCATTTGTGAGGCCACAATTCTCTTTAGTAGTTTGCAGCACAATTTCAGATTTTCTTCCACCATACACTGCTAGCAGTAGTAAGCTCCTGGTACAACAAAGATAGCAGGAAATTTGTGGGTTAAAGTAATTTGGTAGTTGCAATAGTATGCAGTACTAGCTACTACTAGCTAGCACCAGTAGCCACTGCTGTCTGTCTGGCCCAGTACAAATTTTATGTGTTTATACTAAAGTAATTTCTTGTTGAATCCAGCAATAACTTAGCTAGTACCTATTTCTATCCATTCAGTCATTTCAACTCTCATAGACAAAAAGCAAAGCCTTGATAAATATTTTTGGCTGGGAAAGATTTATAACACACACATGATACTATTACTCCTATAACCATGTGTGATGGATAAAGTAGTAGTGGGTTTCTTTGAAAAATACTAGTACTTAGCATCAATTTGGCCCTCTCCCCTGATCCCTCCTCCTCCTCATTGTCTATCATACAACACCAGGATTACTATTAATTTCCCACCATGATATGAAGATATTTTTATCAATATGCTATGAAAGTATTTTAAATACTTTTTGGAATAAATACCAGAGTAGCTAGTACCAGTACTACTACTACTAAAGTGCATATATCATGCTGGATATCTTTTGGAGAAGACTGATTGTTGAGTCGAGATCATCAGTTCTTAGTAGCATAAAACAATGGTGGACTCGTGCAAAGAAGAGGAAAAGACCACCACCACATAACACTATCACCAGTACCAAAATGAGATAAACAGTTTTGTCGTGTAGTACCACTTCTTGTCCTTGCTACTTTCTTGTATCTCAGTACTCCTAAACATAACATCACACTAGTAGCCTACTAGTAGCCTACTAGTAGCCTACTAGTAGTGAACTAGTAGTGAATGTATCTGCAGCAGGACGAGGAGCATGCTCCTCAACTTCTTTGACTCTTGTCACAATATTATGATCCAATTATTACAATACAAGGAGTGACATGTCACAATTCTTATCATTTGAGCTCATCAAATTATGGTGTACACTTAGTATATGATACTAGCCACAAACAAGGAATGTGATAGCACTAGTACTACTAGTACCCCTGAAGAAGTACTTAGGACCATTTGCTGCTGGTGATTGTGTGCTCTACTAAGATATTGTAAATAGTACCTAGTTGTGCTAGTTGGAGTCAGGCAGAAGGTTAGTAGATACATTAGGAGGAAATGGTAGTAGGTATTGAATACTAGTCTAGAGTAAGAAACATGGAACATTTCACAAAAATTCATATTTTCAAGTTGTTACAAAGGATTGTAGGTGTTTTCTGCTGGTTTGAATGGCGCTGAAAGTTATATGATTCAGGTTCCTGTGTTCTGGTTATTATGCTTATTCTTAAGTTTCAGCAGCAACCTCAGCAAGATAATGATAGAAACATTTGGTGGTTGGTTTTGCTAATCTTCAGAAGTAGGAGCATGAGATGGAGGAATGGTCTGAAGTATATTACCATATAATTTCTAGTGACAGGTCATCTGGTAGTAGTAGTATGCTGAAGAACAGGATAGTATCTAATGGCTGCTACTACTACTACTACTACTACTACTACTACTACTACTCTCTCTCTCTCTTATTCCTCTTGTTTGTCTGTCTGTTTGTCTGTCTATCTGTCTATCTGTCTATCTGTCTATCTATCTATCTATCTATCTGTCTGTCTATCTATCTATCTATCTGTCTATCTGTCTATCTATCTGTCTGTCTATCTGTCTGTCTATCTGTCTGTCTATCTGTCTGTCTATCTGTCTGTCTATCTGCCTATCTAAGTGTCTATCTGTGTTATGTATGCATTGAGGAATGATTAAATCACTGTTGGTGTCTACTTTTATTACTTTTGAAAATTTAATGTGCACCACCAGCTGCACTAGTTAGCACATGCGTATTTGTTGGTGCTTCTAGTACATCGTCATAGCTAGCTATTACTAGTAGTGGAGTGCAACTCCTTCTTGGCATTTCTCTCTTCTTACTGACAAACTCATCCATYTCCAAGTAGTACTAGTTATAGTTCACAAGAATTATGTTCGATGTTTTTTTACAACAAGACAAGAATGCTCAATACTAGTGCTGTTGGCAGAATCAACTGCAGTTACACATACTATAAGAACTACTCATCCCAATACTACTACTGTTTTTTTTTCAATCTTTTCATTTTGGCTGTGCTCCTAATTTGAATTTCTGTTGCTTCTTCTTCAACCAGAGTGACAGTACGAGCATTTTCAATTTTTGATTCACAAGTTCAAACTTGAAAAGATTGTTCACCAGTACCTTTTTTTTCTTGTAGAGGAGAAACATTATCAACATCATGTTTATGCTACATACATCACCTGTTACATTCTGGATCCATAATTGTCACAAGACAAAATCTAATAAGTGAATTGAGTATATCTCATAGACTGACAAGAGAATTTTTTTAATTATTTCTTTAAGCATAGCTACCTCTGCCTAGTAGCCCCCTTCCAAACTACTGAGTATTTAGGTTTAGAATAGTAGTAGTACTACTACTAGTACTGGAACTTCAAAATGTTTTCATTTAGTACTACTAGTACTACTCCTACTAGTAGTAGTAGTATGCCACAGATGTTGTATTCATAATGCAATATTTTTACAATTTGCAATTTTCTACAATCATGACAGCTAAGAAATATTACTGGTTGTGCGTCAGATTGAAATTTCCAATTTGAAAAATCTAGTACTACTAGATGAGAGGATTTACAGATTTAGAATGATGCGAATAGCCAAATGATAATTGTTATTAGTACTACACGACCACTGAGGATGGGTGAGAGGACTCCACAAAGATTACCACTGCTACAATGGTGGGTGCAATTCTTGTTCACAAGTCCAGTACTTAAAGGAATGATAAATGTGAGCTTGTTTTCAGTCATTGCTTTGTTTTGTTTTTTATCAGCAGCAGGAAATGAAAATGAACAATCTAAAGGATGATGTATTTGCAGCAAAGAAGTGAACAAGTGTTGAATTGGGTCAGGAATGATGTTCTCATAAATTTTTGATCTACAGCAGTATCAATTTATTGTAGAACATACTAGTAGTAGCAGTACTATTAAGAATACATCATGCCTACTACTGGTGGATCCAAACAGTTTTGACCTACAAGGTCACTCTCCCATTCTCCACTCTCTAAACTTACTTGAGCATTCTCCAAGAAGAGTCCTCCAGCCTCACCACCAGCAGTACAAAGGCTTTGCATTCTMAAAGCCTACTCTGGCCTCCAAGCCTTCTATGGAATCCTATACTAGTAGTAGTAAGAAGGAGCTTCAAAGTTGGAGGAGGAAGTCCCTCCAACTTTTGCCTCTTGTTGCCACAATGTCCTCTCCAGAAATACTTCTGCAGGYATCCTTTGAATCCAATGAACTCCTTACCTGTACTATCCTCAAGACTTCATTCATTTGCTGCACTGTTGGATGAGGTGGAAGTTTCAAGTTAGATGCAGTTTGAGCCAACACCAGCAATTCTATGATTGCTCTCTTTGTGCATTTAAATTTTTTATGCTGACTCTGCAAATGCCTCCACTTCTTATCATCCAATATGTCTAAGTGTAACCACCATATGGCTGTTGCTGCTGTTGCTGCCCAAAAATTGGGCCTCAAGAACCAGAGACTCATGGGGTACAGTTTTTGGTGAGAATGCAAAAATGCCATCTCTAAGRAGGATCAACAGCACAAGCTGCTTCTGCTAAATTGAGCTGGAAATCCTAAAGACAATTTACTCCAATTCCAAGGACAACAACCCATTTCCTTCCTCAGCTGTTGCTGAACTTCCTCCTCTCCTTTGAAAGAACAGACTAGCTAATTCTTGAAAGAAAGTCATGATTAAAGAGGAGGAGCTATTTCATCGTCATAATTTGCCAATGGTGTACTACTACTAGTAATTTTGTTGTTACAAACTCTCAAGCAAATAACTATGAAAAGTCTTCATTCTTCAGCAAGCAGAATTGGGATGAGATTAAGAAAATGCTAAATTATTGTTGGAACTACTAGTACAACAACAACAACTACTACTACTAGTAGTGCATCAGCAGTTCTCCTTGCTTCAATGTGTTTTCTTGCTGCTACTACTAGTACTGGTGGTACTACTGGTGCTGGTGGCACTGCTGCTGTACTACTACTAGTACTACTAGCACTACTAGTGGTGGTGGGACTACTAGTGCTGCTGCTACTGCTGGGTGCTCCAGCACTTCAAGATTCTTGTTCTCTGTGGAGAGGGGAAAGAAAGGAGTGAGACCACCACTACTACTAGCTACTGCTCCTGCTGCTACGTCACACAAACCGATATAACAATGGTGTTTTAAGTTTCCTGCGTGCACGAAAACAAATTCCCGCGCGTGTTTTTCGATGCTCAAATTAGAATCTCACGTCCCTTTTCCCTGGAACATGTTCTCGCACCCTTCGTTTCTCAGCACAAATTTCATTATGCCCTTTCCTAGGGTTTGTACTGTTTTCTATCGTCGCCGTTCATTTTCTCATTACAACCTCGTCTAAAATATCATCATTTCGACATTTTTCTTATATTTTCTTTCAGAATCCTACTACTGATCAAAATAGTAGTAGTTGTAGTAGTAGTAGTAGTAGTAGTAGTAGTAGTAGCTAGTACCTGTTTTGAAACCAAGCTGAGATTTGAACTTTAAGTAGGAAGAGGATCATACCATGTGCAAATTAGATTTGAAAAATTTATGAGTGCCCCGAACCCGTACTGTATCCCACTGGAATCCACAGCCTGTGTGGACTTTCATTCCAAAGCATACGGTACCGTACATCAGGACGTAAAGTATGATTCTACGCATGTTTTGCACTGTACTACTGTACATCATATGTATTCTGTTCTGTGCATGTGATCAGCACCGTACAGTTTGGTAGATACGATTAGAGCTAGTACGCTGTTTTCTTCAACCACACGGATGAGATGCCAAAACTGTATTGCCCCATCGTTCGATGACCGCTTCAGCTTTGAATTCTGACATTTTCATCACGATTAAACTATTATGACCGTATTTGTGCCATTTGACGATACCAGTACCGGATACGAGTAGAATTCTCGTGCTCGTACCGGTACCCCTAATCGTAACGACACCGTGTTGGATTTTATTGGTGAACTTTCTCCTCGATCGAGGCGCGCGATCGTGGAACTTGTACCGTACGGTTCGTAAYATGTTTTCGCTTGTTCCCGAGACTAGGTGGTCGGTCACCGCACCGAAAGGGCACACGACAAACGACGCGCTACGACAGCTTGWTTCAGTTTTCTAGTTCTCCTCCTGTGCCTCTAGATCGTAATTCGCACGTCGAACGTTCAACGTACTGATACCCTAGGTTCACAACGCACAATCCCTCATCCAASCAACCCCCCTAGCCCACACCAGAATCTCCGGAACATTCCCCTTTCCTTTACTGGAACCATCAGTGTTACTACCAAGAACAGCAGAGAACAAGGACCGACGATAAGGCGAGATTCATCCATCCAAAAACGACCGACCAATACTATTTTCGAATAGTTCCTCTGGATTGGAAGGAAGCTCCACTGCTTGCCCTAAAGACACCGTCGTCGCCCTAAACAGCCGCCAGACCACACCACACGCATTCCCTTCGCGTTTTGCTTTATTCGGTAGCACCAGCGGCACCGCACGCCATTCCACACACGGAAATCGAACCGACGAGACGCAGCGCAGCGCATCGCATCACAGCGCACCGACCACAATTTTGCCATGCCCGCCTTTTCCGGCCAGCAAACGACGCAGCTGCAGCTGCGGGGCAGTGGTTCGGCCACGGTGGCGACGCCCGTGCTCCGCACCCCGTCCGAGTACGAGCCGGCCGCCCCCAGCTCGGGCAACAGCGTCCCGTCCGACCTGCCGCTGCCCCTCCGGAACCCCGCCCCCCGGTCGGTGACGAGGTCTTCGTCTTCGTCCACCACCGTTTCGGCGGGCAGCCGGACCTCCGCGGGCCTCTTGTCGCCAAGGACGAAGCGGCAGGTCCAGCGCGTCTTCGATGCCGACCAGCCCCAGTACCTGCTGCCGCTGACCCACGAGCACGGCACCCCCGAGGCGGACGAGCCCTCCCTGAACAACACCGCGAAGCGGTCCGTCATGAGAGCCGCCGAGAGCGGGCGGGGGCACCTGCTTCCCGTGCGGAGCACCAGCACCAAGCTGACGGTCTCTCCGACCTACGGCTCCCGGATGCCCGCACGGCACGTTCCGGGGCGTTCCAAGAGCCACTGCCCGACCTCTACGACGGTGTTGCCGCGTACCCGGCAGGACGTCGACAACACCAACACCAACAAAGGAAGCAGCAGCAGCGGCAGCAAACAGTCCAAGCTGGCCCATCTTAGGCGGCGGACGGCGAACAACTCGTCGGACGACGARGACCCCCTGAAGGAATCCGGGACGCGGAGGAGCTACGATGCCGAGAGCACCAACGGCAACACCAGCGACTCCTTTTATTTCGGCCGCCTCAGCGCCGGCCGCCGGAAACGACAGGGAAGCGGCACCGCCAGCCTCGGGGGCACGAGCACCGGCACCAACAACAACGAATACAGCACCAGCCGGGAGCATCCCGGTCCCAAGCACCAGTGGGGAAGCGGGGTGGTCTGCCAGCAGCAGCTGATCAAGATCTCGCGGATGAAACTGGGGCACCTCCTGCAGATGATGATCGTGCTGGCCGTGATCTCCCTGGTGTACGAGTCCCACCACAAGGCGCTCTTTGCCACGCACCAGCTGACCCAGTTCAAGGAAGAAGAATCCCTGCTCCTGCTGCACCTGCAGAAAATCGAGCAGCAGTCGATCCAGCTCCACGAAAACCTCGGCCGGCTGGCCCAGGCGCACCTCGAGGGGAACATGGTCGTGGGCCGCAAATTGGACAACGGCAACAGCGAGGACGACGAAAAGCACGGGAGCGACGACCGGGAGGTCGATTTCGATCTCATCCACAAGCAGACCCAGCAGCTCTACCAGATGGAGGAAGAACTGAGCCACGAGGTCCAGACCCTGCAAAAACGCATACAGCTCAGTGCCCGGAACCACATCATCCAGGAATTCGGTGAGGGTCCCGTGATGGTGGTGCTGGAACTCGACCTCGGGGACTTTGACCATCGTTCTTCGACCGGGTCCTCCGACGCCAATTCGAAGGCCACCGCAAAAACGCGCTCGCCCGACAAGATCTCGATTCTGCTGTGGCACGACACCCCCCACGCGGCCTGGACGTGGCTGGAACAAATCGGAAACCACGTGTGGGACGGGGCCCCCTTTCACTGGGATCAGGGCGGCGTCATCGACGCGATTCCCTCCGACGAGGCCGTCCTGGCCAACCAAAAAAAACGCAGCAGCGGCAACGGGAAGATCGAGTTCGTCGAGCAGTCGCAGCACTCCCACCAGGCCTGGACGGTGGGGGTCCGGGAGCACCCGATCCACAACTCCAACAACGAGCCCGGCCGCAGCTCGCTGGGCATTTACATCAATCTGCAGGACAATACCGACCTGCACAAGCACGAAACCTGCGTGGGGAAGATCATCGACGGCTTTGACGTCCTCCAGAAACTCCTGGAGGCGGCGAGGAACAACGGCAACGAAAGTGGCGAGCAACGGCCGCACCAAACCAAAGGGAAGCACAACAACGGCCAGTCCTCCCTGGTCATTCGCAAGGCGACGGCGATGCACTACGTCACGAAAAAGCCGGGCATGGGATACTAGTTGCAACACCCGTCCTCCCCACGGTGCGGTCGATCCCTTTTTGCTGTCGCAACGGATCCGACCACAACCAATCACACGGTACGCGGAACGTGTCATTCTTACAATTCACAATAGAGATATAGTATTTCATTCTAGTGCTAGAAACATTTTTTGATTGTTTGTGATTCTGTTGCTGTGACAAACTTTGTACGTATTCTACTTTAATGGTTCTCGATCGAACACAGATTTTTCAAGGGACGGCTCTTCGCTGCAAACCAAAGATGCCGTGTCCCTGAAACTAAGAGTTGGAATATAATGGTTGGAGGAAGTCTCTGTCTATGCCAGTAGTATTGCTTTTTTCCTGCGGAAACTCCTCGTTGGAACGTATTCACTTGCTGGTGGCACCTTTATGGGGAAAGGAAGGAAGGATGGATGGATGCTGTGTATCGATGGGGTACAAATTCAAGATTTCGTGGACACACCATCTCGCCCTTTTAAAAAAATCGTCGCCAAGAATTTTTCCTTCCCGGCGCGTGACACCACGATCGCTCGCGTCCGCTGTGTGTCGTGTCTTGTGGTCGATGGCGGGATTGTGGTGTCCCGTTTTCTTTGGGCTGCGACGGGCCGTGGGCACCACCGCCCGAGACGGAATCGGGGCTGCCTTTGTTCGTTGCGGGCATCGCACGGAACGAGCGAGGACGACAACACCCCGGTCACAGCGGGTGGAAGTTGCTCCGGTGGTCGGCATCGGAATCCCCGCGGCGATTCCGTTTCTTTCGGTCCGTCGCGGACGACGACCGGGGCGGCACCGGTACCGTGTGAGCGGCTTCCTTCCACCGGCTGGCGGCACCGAAATTGAGTTCCGACACCAGGACGTCCACACTGCACGGGMCAAAAGATTGCGACGCGAGAATGGTCAGAAACAACGTGCCGTGGCAGGCGGTGCACTCGGCGCGGCAAGAACCAAGCGAGTGCACACAGAATTCCGTGGCGCGGGTTTGTGCGTTACGTACCGTATGTTTTGGTTGGGATATCCGTCGTTCCCAAAGGGATCCAGGAAACTCTTGGACAGTTCCAGCAGCCCCTTGAAGAAGTGCGTCAGGACGGCGCACAGCGGAATCGACAGGCAGCCCAGCCCGGAATACAGCGAAAASGGAGCCAGCCACACCAGAATGTCGACCAGGATCTGGATCAGCTGGACGTAGGCGATGGGCATCCGACCCGCGCACAGGTCTCCGATGGAGAAGTACTCGGCACGCAGGTCGGTGATCCGCCGCATCAGTTCCCGTTCCGCGCCGTCGCCGCCGACGAGCACCCCGTCGCGGAATCCCTCGGTCGCGTATCTAGCGGAACAAAACGAAACGAAACGAAACGAAACGAAACGAAGAAACCAAAACAGCGATGAGAAGACGTGCGGCACGATCCCCCCGAAACCACCCCGGCCGGTGCACTTACATGGCTACCCACTGCATGAGCATGTACGTGTACTGCGACGGAGGCAAATCGGAATCCAGCAGCGCCTGGGCTTCGGCGTGCGTCAGCTCGTCGGCACGTTCCAGGTAGCGGAGCCCCGAGGAACTCAGCAGGACGGGACCGATCGCGTTGCCCTTTCCGTCCCCGSCTTCGCCGCTGGTCTTTACCCGGTAGGTTCGGTTSCCCCACCCCTTGTCGCTGACTCCGTTCGAATTGGTCGRCATCGCGGCCCAGAAGCTTCGCCAAAAGGACGGTCCRCAAATGGGTTRGTTAGATAGATAGAACGGGCGTTTGGTCGATCCAGAACGCGGGCAAGCGCAGACCCGGCAMCACGGAGCAAACCCTTCGCTGGTGCCTTTCGSGCATGCGSTACGGTAGGTACTTACAATGTGTGGCTGACTCGTATGAGCCTCGTACAGGTAGCGACCAGGTCTGAAGCGCGTTCGCTGTAGCCGGTCACCTCGCTGCCGTCGCTTGCTCTGCCGGCCTCTCGTTCGGCATTGGTCGTGACGATCAGGCAAATGTCGTTGATCCGGCCCTGGATGGCCCTCGTGGTGAAGTAGACCTGTCTCCAGTAGGTGTAGGCCTGGCTCGTGAAAAACGCGAGTATGAAGGTGCAGAGCGTCAGCTGGTATTCCCAGAGTGTCTTGAGCCCCGCCAGTTCCTGGACCACGGGCTCCTCCTGCGGGGGGACCTGGAAGAAGGTCCAGGTCTCCTGGGTGTGGGAATGGACGTACCAGTTCACCAGTATGCCGATGCCGATGTTGAATGCAATGGGGATGTAGGTCATCGAGAGGACGGTTCCGCGCCACCTGGTCCAGAGCCACAGGGCGTCTGGTTCGTATTCGCAGATGATCGGCCGGTTCGACTCGTCGGAGGTTGCCCATTCTCCCATCTCGGAGAGCTGCTTCCGTTTCTGCTTCGATCTCCACGCCGGGTAGGAGGGCTGGCCCTTTCCTATGCTCAAGCTCCCCGACAAGAGGTCGTGGACCTGTTCCTCCGAGAGGTACCTTCGGCGCTGCGGGCTGCCCTCGGTGTCCTCGGACTGGGACGAAACAGAAAGCTTTCGCCTCTGCCGGGCGAAGGCGATCGATCCTTGCGGACCATTGGTGACGGTCGTTCCCCCGCCGGACACCGACGGTTTCCTTCTRCCCCCGACCTGGGTTTCCGATGGAAGCAAAAATCCACTGCAGAACAGGGTGGGGAAGGATTGGAGGAAAAGAGTGCCCGCGACGTAAACTCTCATCGTTAGGCGCAATCGGTTGGGATGCGGTTCAGCAGTGCCCCATGTGCGAGCTTTTGTTGTCGTTGTCGTCGTCGTTTTCGTTTTCGTCGTTTGGAAAACAGGTCGAGGGATTCTCGCTTGATGGCCGCTGCCGATGTTGGTGCCCTACGGTCCGATGCCGTGTTCCGTTTGTTTCCGATGGTGTTGTCACGAAATCGCGGATCGTACGGGTACCGTACCGTACCGGCCGGTACAACGGGGTTCGCCACCAAGAAATTCTGTTTTCTGTCATCTGCTTGAAGAGCTCGCGGGGGGTCGTATCTTCTCGAAGTTGTCGGTTTGATCGGAGGTGATGTGTCGGCGTTTGGGTTGACGTTGGTTCTCCCCTTCGCGCGTTTTTCCACGATCCGTCGCGCGAAAAAGGGCAATAGAGTTTCACGAGCCCGCCGACCGCTCGCTGAAACCGTCCCATCCATCGCCCGGAGGACGAATTCCGAAACCAAACCGTTCCCGATTTCTCGGCAATCGAAGAAAATCACCTACCTCTTGTGGTGCAACAAAGGAAAGGGTCCCAATCGATGCGCCGTGGGACACAAGCCACGAGGCAAATTGCTTTTCCGCGCGTCTCTTCGTCCGCAAGGAGCCAAGGCGGGAATGCCAAGAACCCGGAGGGATACAGCAACACCCCCATTCGCACCGCGACGATGGAATCCGCCGTGACGGAGTGCGGAACGAAACGGACGCGAACGCGAGGCAGCCTCCCCGACGGGGAGATCGGACCCGGCAGCGGTACTCTTTGCGTCGCCCCGGTCGTCGAAGCCGCCTGCTTCCTGGAGTTCCGGCGGTCGACCCTCCACCGGTTCCCGGCCCTCTCGTGGCTGGGACCCTCGGTCATGGCCGTGTACTGGTTCAAGGAATACCTCAACAAGCCGGCGTTTGGCTGGGTCCGCTGCCCGGCAGGGCCGTCCCCTTCCCCACTGCCCACCAAAGACCGAAGGCCCGCGCACCGCCGCCGCCAGCGGGCGCCGCCGGGGCGCCGTTCCGGCGGGCGGTTCTGGTTCGTCCCCGGGCAGTACCTCCGTTCGGGCAAGGGCATCGCTGTTGCGACCCCGGACCGGGAAAGGGCGGTCCGGGGGGTCCTGGAAGTCGGCACCCCGGGCGTCCACTTTGCGACCTCCTACACCGGCGTGTACAACCTCTTGCGGAGGTACGGGCGGTTCGGGGTGGCGGATCCGGGCGGGACGGAAGGGGACCGGGGGGGCAAGCGGGCCCGGAGCGACAGGGGCCCGCCGCAGGGGGGGGGACCCCCAGGCATCGTTCCGTGTGGGTACGCCGGACCCCCCCTGCCCGGCGGGGACCGAGGCCGGCGACCAAGCAGCGCTGTACGAAACTAAAAAAGAATTACTAGTGTAGAACAGGAATGAATGGATTCGTCTTTTTTGTTTTTTTCTATTTTCCGTGTCCGGTGTGCCCTGCGTTCCTTAGAACCGGCGGTATGCATCGCGAAGGCCCGGAGGGAGCACCGGTAGCTGCCGTGCGTACAAGGCACGGCAACCACCGAGGCCGCTCCCCCGCTCGGTGGGAGATTGCTTTGGGTTTGGTTAGGTTCTGGGTTTKGTGAAGGTCTGGCTCCGGCGTTGGTCCCGGCGTCTACCGGCGGGCCAGGACCGACTGCTCCTGCTTCAGAACGGCCAGCTCGTTCATGAGGTGGACGATCGTCGCGTCCTTGTCGGCGAGCTTGCGGGCGGCCGCGGCCCTCTCGGCCCCGAGGAGGGCCCCGAGGCGCTTCTGCTCGCCTTCCAGCTCTCCGGCCCTCGCCCGCAGGGCCGCCAGCTCCTCCCCGCCCTCTAGGGCGGCGATGGCCCGCGCGGCCGACCGCAGCTCGGCCTGGGCGGACGCGAGGGCGGCCGTGGTGGACGAGCACTCGGCGCGGGCCCGCAGGAGCTCGCCCCGGAGGCGCTCGCGGGACTTGCCGGCCCCGGCAGGATCGTCGCCGTCGTCGTTGCCGGGGGGGTGGTTCCCCGGCCCGTCCCCGCCGTGTTCGCGGGCCCGGAGGCCGGTGACCTCCCGCTCGAGTTCCGAGAGCCGTGCGAGCAGGCCGCTGCGCTCGCGGGCAAAGCCCGCCTCGAGCCGCCGCACCTTGTCCTCGGTCTCGACCCGGTGTCCCGCCTGGCTGATCTTCTGGGACCGGAGGAGCTGCTCGAGCTCCTTGACGCGGAGCTCCAGCTCCTCGCTGTASCCGAGCTCCTCGTCCATGCGGATCTCCATCGACTCGAGCTCGAAGGCCATGGCCTCCCGCTCCTTCTGGAGGAGGAGCTTGTCCCTCACCAGTTTCTCCTCAAAGACCTCGACCTCCCGGAGGCGGTTGTCGAAGGATTTATAGGCGTCCTCGTCGCCCTCGACCACGATGCTGTAGACCCGCTTTTTCTTCTTTTTCTTGGAGGCGCCGCTGCCCTTGGATTTTTTCTTTTTCTTCTTTTTGCGCTTCTTGGCCCTGCCTGCCCTTGCGGATTCCGCGTCGGTCCTTCCGACGGAGGCGGGCTCCTCGTCGGTGTCCTCCACCGCCGCAACGTCCACCGTCTCGGCCGTCACGGTGCTCTCGCCCCCGGAGCTCCCGGGGTCCTTTCGCTTGCCGGGAGCGTTCTTGCCGGCCCMGCGGCCCCTTGCCGGGGTGCGGTCCTCTTTCTTGGACCGGGAGGCCTTTTTCTTCTTGGAGGGGGAGGCCTTGGTCGCCGCCGACGGCTTTCGGGCGCTCTTGCCCCTAGAGACGGAGGCCCTCTTGGGTTCTTCAAGGTCCACCTCGACGCTTCTCGTTCGCCGCGAGCTGTTGGTCGAGATCGGCGACACGCTTGCATTTGCATTTGCATTTGCATTTGCATTCGATCCTTGTTCCTTTGGGGAAAGGACCGAGTCGCCGTCGCTTTCGGCGCTGTCCCCGCACTCGAGGTCGCTGAAGTCGAGTTCCCGGGTGTCCTCGCCGTGGTCTTCCTCTTCCGTGAGAAGAAAGAAGTCCTGGGAGGACGCAAAGGAGGACTCCTCGCCGTCTTCCGAATGCGAGCCCGATTGCGAGTCCGAGTGCGAGTGCGAGTCGTCGTCCTCTACGTAGACGAGGTTCGCCGAGTGCCCCGTCAGGTTGAAGGCATCGACGCTCCAGGTCCGGTCGAGCTTGTTCCGGTGCCCGGAATCGCTGCGGAAAAAGGAGTCGTTGTGGTGGTTCGTGTTCGTGTTCGTGTTCGTGTTCTTGTTCGTGTTCGTGTTCGTATTCGTGCTGCCGCTTTGGTTCGCATCCCTCTGGTCCTTCTCCTCGTGTTCGTCCGCCGCCGCCAGGGCCGCCTTGGAGAGGACCCGCTCGAGCCTCGCCCTGCTCTTGGCGCGGGTCGCGGCGGTGGCKCTCCMGCTTTTGCCCGGGCGCCTCCCCGAGCGCTTGGGCTTGGGCTTGGATTTGTCGCCGGTCTTGCTCTTGCTGCTCGTGCTTGCTTTCTCGTTGTGGCTCTTGCCCGGTTGCTCGTTGTTGTTGTTGYTGYTGCTGCTGTCGTTGCTGCTGCTGCCGCTTCCCGGGCGTTTCCCCYKGAACCTYCCAAACCCCAGGCCGGCGGACAGGGTGGAGGACAAGCTGGGTCGCTTGCTCCTGGCGGTCGTTTCTCCCATGGTTTTCGTCGTTTGTTTAGTTTTGTTCTTTTCCTTCTAGGTTCCTTTCTGGCTTTTTCCTTTCTGGTTCTTTTGTTTCTTTCGTACAAAGTGTCCGAGATAGAATCGTGCCAAGGGGTGCTTGCCTGCTTGGTGGAGTGTTTGCTCGCCGATTTGGAGAGACAAAGGACGGAAACGAATCCGAAGTTTCAACCCACCGCCTACAAGCTTCTCGCGGTGTGCCGTAGATGCCGTAACACAAACAACCGAAGCCAGAKCGACACTTTTTGGGAGTGGGACAGAACGTGCTGGGTTWTTCGTTTCGGGATGCCGGAAAATTCGTGTACGGCGGCCTTCGTACGAAACCGAAGGGAGGCGTCGTCTCGTTCCAAGCGCCCTCGGCCGTGCTCCCCGTGCTTCAACGAACGCAAGCACAACACGCCGCACAACAACCACTTTGCCGTGCGGTGTCGGGGTTTTCGGCCGGCCGCTCGGCTGGGTCCCGTGTCGCTGGGGCAATAGTCGAAATGCCGTCRGGTACTCCGGAACGGCAACGCTGCACGTACCTGCCTCGTACATTGTTGTTCCGATGAAGGGCGCAGTCGTGGACCGTTTCGGGGAAGGTTCGGGATGGTCATTTCATGACCCGAACAAACGAAGCATCGTGGAGTGGACTAAGCGCGTTTTGGTCCCTCGAGCGAGCGGTCACACGGGCCGAAAGRGCTATAATATATCACCCGAACCMTATATGCCCCATTCTTGGTTCAATAAGGGCAACAATACCAAATGGCTTGTTTGKATGGATTCTGGTGGTCCGTGCCCGAGGGAGAGCAGGAACCTGCCGAAACTTGTTCTTTGGTCCTGCAAAGGAAAATTCTTGCGTTCTACGGTGGCGGACGGTCTTGGTACCGTGCACGTTAAGGTGCTCGTGCGCTAGCTATGCTATCGTGCTTTGCGGTTCGTACGGTACCGTTGACCCTCTGTCCTTTTCGAAACCGTTTCCGAMGGTCTTTTCTGGGTTCTCGGTTCTAGGGGTACGTACCGTACCCCGTCGTACGGTTCGACATCGCATCATACTATCGTAGGGTAGGGTGGAGGTGGGGGGCTGGGCTGGGCTCGCGCTTCGTCCGTCTTGCACAACACACACGGCATTCCTTCGGGCGGCAAAATACCGTACKTACGACACCCACAAGCAATCTCGGGTTTTTTCGAAAACGAAACGAATTCCGACGAGATCATCCCCTGGTCGATGCACCCAGTGGCTCGAAACCAGAGGGGCACCAAACAAGACACGCACCCGGCAACGGGATCGTTCCTCGGGGGGGTAGGACGGCACTACGCCTCGGGTTCGATCGGGGTTCCACGCAAAACGAAAACCACCCGTGGCGTGGGTCTCCCAAACTACGTAAAGTATTGTGCTGTCTGTCTACGTTAGTGGACTGCAATGCCGCGTCGTGCGCGTTTTTCAAACAAGACTGTAATAGTACCGTGTTACTGTATTCTGTTCTCGTGCGGATGCGACGGATGCAATGCGATGCAATGCGATGCGATGCCTTGCTCCCGCCGCCGTGGTTCACGCAGGCAGCCTTCGGGCGACGCCACGGACCGTCGTCGGTGCCGCACGCCCGAATGCCAAGCATGCACCGGTGGCGGCCGGGTTCGCCGCCTACGACCCGCCGGCGTTCTGCCGGGCGACCCGCGCCAGGTACTTTCGCCGGATCTGGTAGAAAATGACCAGAAAGACCATCGACGCCCCAAAGAGGGAGGTCAGACCGATCTTGTGGCCGAACAAGATGCAGCTCAGGGTGATGGAAAAGAGCTGCCGGGTCGTCATGATGACCGTAAAGACAATGGGACCGAATTCCTTGATGGTGTAAAAGATGAACAGCTGGCCCGAGGCCGACGTAATGGCGGTGATGATGTTGTAGTTGAGGGCCACGGGGTTCTTGGACAAAAATTCGTAGACGACGGGAACGTCCCCCGACACGATCAGCCCGGTGGTCGTGATGACAATGGCGCAGGTGTTGACGCACAGCATCATCTGGTACTGGTCGACGTTGCTCCTGCCGTACTGCYGGTAGATCTTGTCCTGCCACTGRGAGGTGAAGGAATCGCAGCAAATGTACAYGAGCATAAAGATCAGCCCGATGATTTCCGTGTCGTTGTTGACCTTTGCGGTCTTGGTGGTGAGCGAAAAAATCGCCACGCCGATCGTGATCAGGAGCGCCTCGACGTACTGCCCGAGCGGGTACGAGTTCCCCTTGAGGAACCGGCCCATCATCATGACGGGAATGATTTTGGAGGACTTGAAGACGGTCTGGACCGGAAAGGCCACGTATTTCAGCGAGGCGTACTGGGACCAGCTGCTCAGCGTGTTGCTCAGGGCGCAGGGGGCAAAGGAGTAGAGGGGCGCCACGTTGTTCGAGTAGAGGGCCCCGTGCTTGATCTTGCAGGCGATCGCGCCGACGATCACCGCCAGAAACCGGTTGGAAAAGACGCAAAAGGCCGCCGATGGGAAGATCCCGTTCGGGGCTCCCGGCGTCGGTTCGAAGACCGTGGTCATGATGAGTTCCTGCATGTACCCCCAGGTCAGGTAGGACGCCTGCAGGCCGGCAAAGCAAAAGGCGAGCTTCATCGCCTGCGTCGAAAAGTCGTTGTCGCCACTGGAAAACGCCGTGGCAACGTTTCCGCTGCCACCGCCATCGCCGCCCAGCGGAATGTTGCGGGTGGACTCGTTGTCGTCCACCATTAGGGGTCTCATCAACCTGCGGTTCCCCCCCCCAAGAGAAAGAAAGAAAAAAGAAACACACACACACACACACACACACCAAGCATTGCGCCAAAGAACGAGCAAGGAAAAGAAACAGTTCGTCGCAAAATTCGTGCATCGGAAGAACGACAAGAAAAAGAACCGCCAGGGTGTCAGTGGAACATTCGTTTGCATCTCGTTTCCGATCGGACCGGCTGCCGCGGTGGAGCACCGCGGTCTCGTTTGCCGCGAGGGACCGACGSACACCGCACTCACATTTTGTCGTTGTCTTCCTGGACCATGCTCGAGGCAGGAGACGGAGAAGGTGACGCCGTTCGTGACGTCGGGGCCATGCTTTTGCTGTGTTTGCCGCTGCTGTCGCGGTTCGAGGGGGAATCAAATGAGGAGGGATCCGACGTGTGTCTCCTGTGCAACCCCGAGGACATGAAAAACGATTCTGTTGGACTGGCCTGGATACCAGTAGCGCTGGGTTGGGTTGATCAGAATCCTGCTTGTTTGTTGGTTCGGAACAGCAAGTGCTGGCGAAGGCCGGTTCTCTTTCTCGCAGAAGCAGAAATCTGGGTTCGACGGTGAGGCAAGAGCACCGGTAGCTTATACGATTACAAGGAAGGAAGGAAGTACAACCAAAATGATCGTGTGAGCACCGTACGAGGTATCGTACCGTACCGTACCGTGCCTGCGGAGGAGTCTCTGGTAACAGGGGTCTAAATTATGACCCCTGTCCCATACCTCCGCTGTACGTTACGAACGGTACAGTACTTACGTACTCGTAGCATGCCCTGAAGCCGAAGGGAGGATAGAGTGTGAGATGAGAGACGATTCGCACGATCGGCCTGGCCTCCTTGGATTGGGATGTCTTGGGCATTCTTTTTTCTGAGAATGTAGAAGCATCCCAGTACGGTAGATGTACGTACGTACGTACGTTAGATTAACGTAGTGACGGCTAACGAACGCAAAACGAAAGCAAGGCTGAAATCGGAGTACTACCGTACGTACATACGGTAATACAAGGGATACTAATTTTTCGATACCTGCTCTACGGAGCAGTGTTACGGCATCGTGCTACGATACCCCTGTCATGTGTCATGTTAGACCCAAAAACTAGTCACTAGTAACCTACGTATCGTACCTTACCATCCGGTAGGCAACGATGACCCTACTGTTAATTGTATCCTTTTTGGCGTTTTGTCATCGCGTCTCAACGGTCGGYAATTTCGGTTGATTTCTTAACTTGACTCATGCGACTAAACATCAAATACATTAGAGCTGGGGTTASATATCGTGTGTCTGTCAGTCTATCCATCCATGGATTCGCTATTCTCTAGTCTCTCACCAAATGATTGAAAATCCAGAAATCCCCGAAGATGAGACAATGGCAAACCCTGTTATATCCCGTGCCTGTCCCACTCATCGAAACATCCAGGATCGAAGAGCAATATACGGCACAGCATCCAAACAGACGAGAGATTGATTGATAATGTTCCGACTGGGTTTKGCCACTTCTCTGCCGTCGGCGGCGGCGGCAGCGACACGAAGAACGATGCTTCGCTACCGGCCGGCGGGAATCGAATCTGCGGCGGCACGAGCATCCGCATCCGCACCCGCGGCGTTATCGACCAGGGCCCGGGAATCGTCTCCAACACGGTCGATCCCATCTAGGAGGTCGTTCTCGTCTGTGCCAGAGACTCTCGCAAAATCCTCCCTGTATACCTGGGGGACCGAGACCCACGGATGCCTGTTGCAAGAAGAAAGCGACAAGATAGACTCCAAGAACATCCTATGGGAACCCCAGCCGGCGGCCTTTCACAACGACATCGGCAGGATTTCCGACTACTGGTGCGGACACAACGAAATCATACTGACAACGGAGGAGGGATCCGTCTGGGTGGCCGGAGAGAACAAGAACGGCCAGCTGGGACTCGGGCACAAGAACCCCGTTTCTGCCCTCACCCAAATCAAGGTCGACGGCGTCGAAAGGTTCGCCAAGGGGCGGATCGGGGCCAGCACCGGCGCCCTCATTGCGGAAAACGGCGATCTCTATACCTTTGGCTTTGGCGGATCCGCCATGCGCGGGGTCGGCTGCCTTGGACACGGAAACGAGGAATCCTACCCGACCCCGAAGCTGGTGGAATCCCTGGTGTACGACGGCTGCCGGGTCCAGGACGTGACCCTGGGGGAATCCCACACGACGGTCCTGACCACCGAGGGCGAGGTTCTGACCACGGGTGCCTCCAACTACGGGCGCCTAGGAAACGGAGAAACCTCGGAGGACAATCTGTATTTCGACGCCGTGGAGATTCTCCCGAACGAGACGGTTTCCCAGATCGCCGGGGGGGAATCCTTCACCCTGGCCCTCACGAAGGAAGGAATCATCTACGCCTGGGGCAAGAACGCCAAGGGCCAGCTCGGGACCGGTTTCGGGATGGCCATAGACATGTACGCCATGGAAGACGTCCCCGCGCCGATCGAGGGCGACGAGCTYGCCAACCGGGTCGTCRCCAAGATCGCCGCCGGGGCGAACCACAGCGCCTGCGTGACCTCCAGCGGGGAGCTCTTCTGGTGGGGGGTCAACCTGCACCTGGAGCCGGTCCGGGTCAACGAGGTCCTGCACACCAAGATCGTGGACGTGGCCTGCGGCCTCGACTACACGCTGGCGCTCTCCGAGGACGGGGAGCTGTATTCCTGGGGTTTCGGAAAGACGGGGGTCCTCGGCGTGGGTCCCGACGTCAAGACGCTCCACCAGGCCCGGCGGATCCGGGCGCTCGCGGCCGAGGGCGGGGAGAGCGAGCGAAAGGTGGTGTCCATGGCGGCCGGAAGCAACCTCGCGGCGTGCATGGTGAGCGAGTAGCGGTCGGAAAGAATGCCGCAATGGCAACTAGTGGGAGCAGTAGAGTATTGTAGCCCGCTCTTTTCTCTTTTGTACTTTGCGGTGCCGTAGTTCGATGACGACAGAGTACCCTATTTATAGTTGGTCTTACGTGTGTCTACTAGTCTATTTTCATCGTTTCCGTGAACAAAACTGGGATCGCACCGCGGCCATTTGGCTACGCGGCGCTCTCGTTGGTTCAGAAATTAGTTCTGTTTTGCGGCTGGGTTCATCGATGGGCTTGCGTCTTACAGTTTTTCCGCCTTGATCAAGTGACTGAAAACCGCCACGGGTTTCGAGGGTTCCTCGAAAAACATCGAGTCTTGCGGATCGAGGTAGGCGGCCGTCAGGAGGTTCCCCGTCATGACCCTGTCGTTCGACCCGGGAACTTCCTTCCAGGTCCAGAAGTGGGCATAATTTGTCCCTACCTGCCGTGGGATTCCCACTTGGGACCCACCGGAAAAGGTGACCTGCCGGACGTAYTCGCTGCACACAAAAATCTGCCCCCTGGCGTTTTCACCGCCTTCTTGTGGTGGCGGTGGCGCGGGAATCAGCTCGGATTCGCGGCCGTTGCAGAACAATTCGATTCGTTCCGCGTTGGTGGTTTTGTATTCGTAAAACACTACGGAGAGGCGATTTGCATTGGTCTTGGGATTGTAGAGAACTTCTTTCACGGCCGAATATCCCAGGTGATCGTTGATGGACGTCGTTAGTGACGTGCTACGATCTTCCAGACCCGTCGATTCGTCGATGTTCAATTCAAAATSAACGACTTCCTTCCCGACATCGGACAGGGCAGCAATGCTGCATTTTTGGAAGCCAGGAACTTGTGCATTGGTGGTCAACCGGGATCGCGGGATTTTTTGTGAGGGGAAAATGTATCCGCTGTATTGGAGAGTAACGTTCCAAGCGCCTCTYATAAATGGTGGATAGGATTGGGTCGACGGTGGAATATTGAAAATCGAGTTGGTAAGAGCCGATGGATCTCGAAGGGAAAGCTTTTGGGCCAAGCTCAAAGGAGCGGCATTTGCTGGTGGTATGTTCGATGGCAAGACGAAGGGAGTCACCAAGCCAACAGATCCAAAAATACCGGCAGATGCAAAATCCCTTCGGCCCATTCGGCCGCGACTCTTCGGAGACACATCGAGATCGTTCGTTGGCGGGGTCCACGACAAAGCAACTGTTTTATAGAAGGAAGGTAGTAGGCATGCATTCAATACCACGAAGGCGACTATTGAGATTGCTCTTCGTTTGAATTTCATCATCGTTGCTGCTTTTCTCTTGTGTGGTGCTACCGTACAGAGGCCACTGTGCTGATTCTCAGGCAGGGGGGGGGGATCAAAGGGCAACTGTGACGAGAAGGAATCGATTCCGAGTCCTGATTAACTGAGTACTGGGAAGTGTAGTAGTACTCGTTGTCGTGGTGTTTCTTCTACTGTTGAACGTCTTAGTTTTCCTCCGATGACGCAACAAAGTGTTGAAACAATAGCTAGGCTATGAAACCTTAAAGGATGAATGAATGTCCTATTGGTTAGATAATTGAAAACAAAGAATGAGCACACTGAGTTGGCGAGACTTTATTTGCTCAACTCAGCTGTTGCCCATCTGCTGCATGAACTCCTTGAAATATTGGAGGATTGGATCATACTGGCATGCGCGACCATCATGTGATTGGCGAATTGTAAATATCAGTGGTATGTTGTGGTCGCGCTATCCGCGGATTCCAGATCAGTCCGTGTGGAGGTGCAGCATATGTATATTACGTATATGGTCATAAGTAAAGTTCCCAGGATTGGATGGCGATTGGATGTGCCGCACCGATATGGGTGCCATTGTGGTGCTCCAGCACGCCCTATTTCAACACACTCCTGCGGTGTGAGCAGATCTCCTGTTTGGTACTTCCAAAACAGGGGATCCAGCCCATTCACCGATACTTACATAATAGGTGTGATGCGAGCATTCAATTGCGCCTTATTCTTTACGGCATAATATGCTGTCTTATAGCTGATGTAGTCCTTGTCTGTGATGCCCATGACAGTGTTTCGGAGCCGCCTAAACAGGGACCCCTGTAGTGGCTTAGTGAAGAAGTCAGCGACCATGTCTCCCGTTGGGCAATACTCAACGGTGATTTCCCCTTTCTTAATCCTGTCTGTTACAAGAAAGTATTGAATGTTAATGTGTCGCGTCCGTTTAGTACTGGACGCCTTCCCATTCCTTTCCAGCTTGATTGCACTGGTATTGTCCTGGTGAAGGATGTTCTCCCCTTCCCCAAGCCGTTTGTTGTTCTTCATGCGGCCCCCGCTCGCTATGGGTAGGCAACCGTCAGCCATGTATCCTTGCCACTGTAGGAAATAGTAACACCACAAGTTGTATGGTAGCGAGTCGTCTACTCCTACCAGCTCTGCCTCTGTTGAGCTCTTGGTGTTAAGTTTCTGTTTGGTTGACATAGCCAAAACTGCTCCCTGTCCAAATGTCAGCATGGCTCCAGTGTGGCTCTTCATGTCAGTATGTACTGCAAAGGATGCATCAACATACCAGTTTGCGTTTCCTGTGCTGTCCCAGCCAAGGACCAGGGGAATGAAGATGGTGTTCCGGAGGTAGGACATGACACGCTTCAGCTTCTTCCAGTCATCGGTATTTGGTGATGCGACTCGAGTGCAAAGAAATGATACTGCGGTCTGCAGGTCAGGGCGGGCCCTCTTGCTTGCAAAGAGGAGCTGAGCCGTGAAGTGGTGGAATAAATCTGCATCCTCTTCATTGAGCTTGGTTCCACCGTCCCCAGCTTGGAATAGATGRCTTGCAGCCGGRGTTGGAGTAACCCGTCCGTCGAYTAGGTGCTCTGGCAACTCAGATAGGATTCCTTCCAAATAGTCGAACATGCTGAGCTTAACCTTCTTGTCCTCGGAATAGTCGATGGTCATTCCCACATACTCATGTACCTTGCCTCTGGTGATGGTGAGGGGAGACTCTTTCCCAAACTCAGTATCAAGCTTGTTAAGAACCTTTGTCACGACCCTTGGATCTTTATGTGAGATCTTCAGGTCATCCACGTGCCACACAATAGTGCACTGGTGGTTCTCTATTAGCTTGTTGGCAGTACAAGCGTCATACGGGTTCAGCTCGAATCCCCACTCCGTAAGCTTACCAGACAGCTTCTGGTAGAATAACAAGGCTGCCCTGAGTGTTCCGTAGATTGCCTTGTCTGCTCTTGCATACAGTAGCTGCTTTCCACTCTTGGTCGTCAGYACRTATGGAGTATAYAGTTCTCTGTCAAGCCTAGCCARTATCTCGGCTATTGGCCCATCGAACCTGAGGTGAACAACCTYRCCCTCGGGCATGGGGGTYTGTAGGAAAGCSCCAGGGATGTCYGCTGTAGCYACGTCYCTTTGTTCAATTGCATCRATTAGACATGAGAGCATGAGTGCATGTAACGACACGGTGGGTGAGTATGAATCCTCCTTGGATATATATTCGCGCTGTGATCTTCCATCAGCACATCCCCTGCCCTTGATTTTTCCACAGCGTTTTCTCTTTACAAACATCAGATACGGCAGTGCCTTCCTGATCTCTTCCTCAGACATGTCGCAAATGTGCACTGGGGTTACTACTTCTCGGTCGTGGAGCTGTTTCAGCTCTGTCAATACGGCCTCCACGCCAAGCGTTCCAAATATTTTGAGGCCCGCCTTAACCCCATATTGTTTCGTTACGAGTGACGCGTCTATGTTATTGTAATTAGCTATTGCTGTGGCGATGAACATGTACTGCTCATTTTGTTGCTGTAGTTTGTTAATTGCGGCTCGGAAGCCTACGGTGAAGAAACAGCGGTGTTGTGTAGTCACCATTGCTCGATGGTGAACAGTAGGGACGAAGCCATCGCTCTCGTCGAATTTGTTGTGTGTTCTGGACACGTGTGGACGGAGCTCTCGTCTGCTTACCTGGTTGGGCGGCTCGTTGCCATCTACCCTTGCATCGACTCGCTGCTGGTGTTCATCATGGTCAAAGTTAGTATTATGATCCTGCTCATTGTGGTAACTGTCATCGTTGCTGTTAGCAGTGTGAGTGCTCGTATCGTTACTGTGGTCTAGCTCCGTGCCAGCTTGGTCCAATGCTGAGTCGTGTGCGTTGGGCTCATATACTGGATCCGGGATTGGGTCTTCAGTATGGTCGTGTGTGACGTTTTCCTCCTCATCTTGGTCCCCAGGCATATGTTCTTCTGCGGGATTGTGCACGGCGGGTGGCCCGTCCCTTACGCCCGTCCCTTACACTCCTTACTGTGTCCACGGCGCGTCTACGCTCATCTGTTACAGCTCCCACGCTTCCGTTGGTTCTTCCCTCAGTACGGTCGCTGTAGCTGTCTCCAGTACTGTTGGGCTCATTTTCATTTATATTGCTATCATCCCTGCGAGCAACGTCTTCACCATGGTCTTGTAATGCAGATACCTCATCTTCCTCATTGTAATCCACTCCTGAGAGGTCGGATTCGATAGAGGAGTCGTCCTGCACTGGTACGTACGATTTGTCTGATGCATCGTTGTCCGATCCGTCATCGTTAGTGTCCAGATCGAGTATCGTGACGCGTCCAGCGGAATCCCCAAACGTGATTCCCGGTGGGGATCCCTGCTCCCTCGCAATGTCCTCCACACGGCTGATCACGGTATCTGTCATGTGGGCGAGCGTTGCSGACTTCCGCCTGATCCGACGTCCGGTCTTGAGGTCAAATAGGTACATTGCTCCCTGTGCATCACCAGTTGGTCGCAGGTATATGGCGTCCCTTGCCCTTGGGTCCATGGAATTGTCACCATCCTCCTCGTGACMCAACACGTAGTCTCCAAACTGAAATCGACAGTGTCGTTGTGCGTCCAGCTTGCGCCCAGTGAGTAGCTGTCGGGGGGAGATARTCTTGGACACTCCACTAGAATTGCACCAGTGGTTCAACCAGTAGTCGACCCCATTCACAAGCTCAATGATCATTCGTGATGGCATTCGTTTAAATGGTACTGAGGCAAACATGCACCGCACTCGTTCCTTGCTTGTTCTGTTGTCGCGCTCAATGAATGGCTCATGYGCCTCAGGGGCTGCTCCGTGAAAAGTAACGGGCGGATCCCATGTGAGCATGGGATCTTTGAGACAGTTAAATTCATTGTCTCCGTAAATTTGCGTGACTATGAATCCCCGCGAGGCGTACAAACCAACAATTGACTTCACGCATGAGAGAAGCGTTCCGCTTCGCGCGTTTGTGATTGCTTTGCTTGTTCTGAAGTGGATGTGTCGGGATATTGACCGGAGGAACTTGATGCCATTGACTGTGTATACATCAATCCCCAGGGTGATTTCTCTGTAGTTTTGCAGGATCTCCGCAGGAACCGGGTCGATATCCTCCCTCACGTGTGGGGCCTTCTTTCTCACCGTCTTTCCTTTCACTATGTTTGTGTTCACTCCGTAGATGTCCTCGGCCATCATCACGTCACGTCGTGTGACTGGGCAGTTAAGGATCAGATTGTGATCTATCATATGAAGGAACGCTTTTAGACTTGGGAATCCAAGGGTCTCCTGCAGCTTTCGGGCAGTCTTGGCCCGTCGTATGTCCAGGTCAGAATAGAACTCCTTCTGTCCTTTCACCGTGGTAACCATTAGGAGCACACCACTTTGGTCGGTGAGATCACAGGCGTACAGACCGCATGGTGTGCGATCGAACCTTCGTGTGGTTCCGTCATGCTTGTGCACAAAGAAGGACTGTGCAATTGATGTGTCCAGCGTTACTCGGTGGCTGTTGGATACCAGTCCAAGGGATAGCACATTGGCTATTCCTCCCTCCTGATACCACACGGAACCGAACCCAGGCAGGTCCCCTATTTTATCAACAAGCACATTTCCGGCATTACAGTGGATGCGGATTCGTTCTCCAAGTGGATGCTTCCTGATGTTCTTTAGCAGCTCTGGGTTGCATACACAGTTGCATGTGGCTTGGCTATCGAGGAGTATCCAATTCTTGTTCACCTTCCCTTCACCTTGGGAGAGGAGGATGTGGTGCTGTTCATCCTTTCCAACTCCAGCTTCCATGCTGTCCACACTCCTGCGGTTTTCACCAGGGTAAACCGCTGTCGGAGGGGATAGTGTCTCACTAAAGTGGACGAAACAGAGTTCATCGGTCTCCTCCTCTTCCTTCATGGCATTCATGAAGACTTGTGTTGCTTCTTGCACGGTTACTCCGCTGTCCGGCTCACTTTGTCCGTTGGTGACAAAAGCAGTTGCTTCAGTTTCCTTGTCTTTTTGTCCCGGTCGGTCACGGTTTTGTTCGCGATTGCCGTATCGGTCAGTTCTGTTGTTGTTGTTGTTGTTGTTGTTGTTGTTGTTGTTGTTGTTGTTGTTGTTGTTGCTGTTTCCACTCTGCCTGTTTGTCCCCGAGACTCTATATTGATTCAGGAGCTCCAGGGCCTTTGGTGGTGTGGTCGGATACGCATCAGTTCCCAAGCTGTAGTTGTCCTTGAGAACACTCCCTAGGTTTCTGTGGGCCCGGGGATGACAACCGTTCGCTATTACGGTGGCTAGTAACATTTGCTC